ATTATCATGTGCTGTGATCAACAGTGTCAATGACTGAAGAAATGTTACATCAGCTTCAACCAATCTTAACCAATTTTCTAGGAATACCAACTTTGCTTTGGTCAAAAAATGATCTCGTCAGAGAAAGCTGGAATTTTCTACAGATTAGTCTGATTAATCAAGTCTGTGTTTGCTGCCCGGTTCTGATCCGGAGTGACACGTGTTTTGTACTGATGGTCTTATACAAAGCAAACATGTTGTCGGCAGCACGTCTCCAATCTTCTAAGATTAAACACAATTATTGTGAAAGGCATGGTCAGCAGTGCGCACTAGAATGAGAGTGTTTCTATCATTTTAAAACCAAAATAGAAAAACTAAGTTTAGTGTTTTTGTTGATTTCCAGTTTTTAATTCTGCAACATTTTGTGCCTAAACTGAGAAAAACGCATTGTTTCACAGTTCAGAAGCTCCACATTGGAGATAACGGGATCTGATGTGTGAAAGGACTGAAATCCAGTCATTTTCCTTTTTTAGTTTTGATTTTTGTCCTAGAATTAAAGCAGTATTAGAAAAACTCTTTTGTATCAAAGAACTGGGAGGGAAAAATGTGAACAAAAGGTTTCCCTTCATGTCCTCGGAACGCTCATCTGAAAAAACATTGAGTGTCTGACCCTTAAACACAACCCTTCTGTTGGAGATAACAGAGTCTGATGTGTTTGCAGCTGAAATATTTGAAAGATTTGTCCCCAAATTTGTCAATCTCATCAGTGTAAAATCTCCTTTCATGTCCTTTGTGAGTGCCTGATCTCATCAGAAAAAAGCTGGAATTTTCCAGAGATTAGTCTGATGAGCGGCTCTGTTTACTGCCTGGTTTTGATCTGAAGTGACACGTGTGTGCGGTACAGATGGTCTTATACAAAACAAACATGTTGTCGGCAGCGGTGAGTGCAAACATCCCCCCCGCCGTCGACAAACATCCCCGTTCTGAAGAGTCCGGTCGGTCTGCGGGTCCCTGCTGACAGAGGCCCTGCTTTGTGGCGCTGAACTCTGACCTCTGTGGAAACAGCCAGCTGCTTACACAATGGCTCTGTTTCAACTCAGCTCACATTATTTAATCAGACTGCAGCGAGGAGCCTGAGTCCGCAGTGACTTTACTCAAACGTGATGAAAAAAATTAAAGCTAAAATACAGCTGATTGCTCGCTAAAAGACAAAAGTAGGAAAAACAGGCTAGCTAAAAGCTAAATGTAGCAAAAGCCTGGCTAAAAGTTAAAGGCAACAAAACTAGATGCTAAAAGCAGCAGAACATTGGTTAAAAGCTGCAAGAAGAAAAAAATAGTTTTAAATTACAAAAAAAAAAAACATACTAAAAACAAAAGTAATAACAAAAGACTGATTAAAAACTAAACCCCGCCAAATTTGTCAGGGCCAGTTCTGGTCCACACAATGCACTCTGCTCAGCTCAGTGTTGGCCCTTTGGTGGCCCAGATGAGCACACTGCAAAAACTGTCCACCTACCAAGTTTTAAAACCTTATATCAGCCAAAAAAGTCTTTTTGATCTTGTTTTGAGACTGATTTACTAAACAAGAACGGATTGTGTAAGAATAATAATCTTGTTTTCAGAATGTGTAAGATTATTTGTCTTGTTAGACTGAAAATTTGACTTTACATCATTTTGCAGGTATACGGACGTATGGAGCAATCTCACGGATTTTTTTAAAACCTCATTTTCAAATTTATCTAACATGTCAGAGCCTGTAGGATGACTTAAAAAAAACAATAAATAACATCAAACAGCCATCTTCCAACCTGTTCTGCCTCTAGAAATGAATTTTGGACTTTTTCTGCTCTCCTTTTCTCTTGCTTCGCAGCAGGCGTTTTCATGTCCGCAGCTGACAGCCCCCCCCCCCCCCCCC